GTCCCACCACATCCGGTAGCGTCTTGTAAGGACGCGGAAGCCTCCAAGACTCCTCGCCGGCTTTCGAGACAGGTGCGCAGGACGTGCTCCCGACTATGGTACCCACGGAGAGGTGCTCCGAGCCGACTGGCTTGAAGGGCGGTCGGACCCGAACTGATCGCCGGCATTGCGACCGCTCCGGTCTTTTGCCGATGGAGGTGGAAGGGGAAGTGGAAGGGGAAGAAGAGGGGCACCGCACGACGGGGTCCGCTGCGAGGAAGCGGCGCTGCTTTCTGCGGCGGTGCGCGGCGCGGCATCCCGCTGCGCATGCGCGGTGGCCGTGTGTGTGAGGTGTTGGTGTGTGTGTGCAGGCAAGGGAGAGGGGGAAGGTGGTGCATTTGGTGGATGGTTCGTTGCGACGAGAGGCGCAATAGTGGGTCCGCTGCTACCGATGGAGATGGTCGGGTAGGGCTGCGCGCCCGGGGTTTTTTAGGCGTCACGGAGCGGTGATTCCCTATTTTTTTTTTTCTTTTCGCGGAGATACGGTACGCGGGAGAGCTCTAGTCCGGGCGTCTTGCATTCGGGAATCCGGAGAGATCTGAGATTGAGGTCCCGACTGAAACCGTCTCCGTGTAGGGATTTTCACTTTCCAGTGTTTGAAGAAACGCGTTACGAACAACGACGTTACTGGTAACTCGTCAGTTTTTTGTGTTTTTTTTTTCAGTAACGTATTTATGCAATTGTTAGTATCCCCTTTGACTAGGGAGTAATTTAATTACTATATTGTGGTATTGTCTATGAAATTACATTACTGGTTACGCCTTACTTTTTTATTAAAATTAGTCACGCTTTTTGTTGCGTTAGGGGTTTAAAACGCCATCGAAACCTCGCGTCATTCTGCAGGTTTGATAAACAATTGATAAAAATGTGAAAACGCTCTCTAAACGTTGTCAAACTACGTAAAGGCGGCTTATCGCTGCCAAATACTGAAATTTAAAGTGAAGTTTGTGAGTTTCTAATAGTAGCGGTCACGGCATCACGGTATTCCGTTGCGTTTTCAGGAAAGTGACGAATCTCAGTGACGCGTTAATTTTCGATGAACTAACAAGTAAACCCTGATTAATTATACTTGAGAGAGTAATAAGATAAGAAAAACTCAAATGATTAAAAAACAAGAAAAGTACCAGGTCACGTCTCAAACTCGGCTACTGCGTTAATTAAGTCCCACTCCTTTTATACTCGGAACGTGGTCTATGTTCAACCGCCAAAACACACACACATGAACACAAAAAACAAATTCCGCTATTTCGATACATACTTTTGGTAATCGACCCAACATAGCGGCCGTTTCAGTTTTGGAGTCCTCCCTTACGTGCTTGAAGTATCAATGTCGTTTTCATTAGAGTTTATTTATTTTTGTAGTTAGGCGGTGATTAAGCGTTTATTGAACGATGGGATAAAGTGCAGTCGCCGCTCAGTATGGCCAGTGGTGACAGCAGTGGTGAGATACGATAAATGAACGGCTGGAAGATGTGATCAGGCGCGTTCTCTCCGCATACCCTAACTCTGTGGCTCCGAAGCCAAAGTGTCAACCTTCGTTTGTTTGTCCGCATAAAGCCGAGGTGCTTACAGTCTCACGCAAGTCCATTACGCGGAAAACACGCGTTACTGGTATTTTAGTTCTACCACGAAGAATCCGAGGTCACCTGCATCAGTCCTCGGTCATTTTCTTGGATGTCCCTTCGTTGGTTGGGCACCGGAAACTCCAGGATCTTTCGTCTTAAATTTGCATTAGGTGAAACCGATGCCAGGGAGAAGACAAGACAAGCGAGTTCCCCTTAAAAGGCCATTACTATAGTCGGTGACTCGTTAAAATGGAAGCTCCTCCCACTTGGTTACACTTTAGCATTGCGAACGCTGGAGAGGAGGTTCTCGTCCTTTCCTGCGTTCGAGTTGCTTTCCTTCCCGTTCGCTCTCCCAAAGGGGAGAGAGGTCGGAAGGACTTCCACTTTACACTTGCTAACCTGTCACCGGCTATTGACGATTCGCGCACTATAGTATATGGGCGTGAACTTAAGTTCGTACTAGTTTTTGGCCCTGATCATAAGCGCCGATCTTGCCTGGCAGCTGCGTACTAATTACGTGACTAACAATGCCCATCGTATGCTTAGCTATCTGACACCTAACTTCTACCTAGCTCCATCATCATTAAAGCTTTTTTTCTTTTTCTATAAAACGCTAAGTGGGGTTATAAACTCGAGTATGCAGCCTCCATCTGGGATCCCTTCATCGTAATTATCTCACTGACTCACTGGAAGCAATTCAGAACTGGTCCGCACGTTGTCTATTAGCCAACTATAATCGCACTGCAACTGCCGCATCAATGAGAAATACACTACTATTTCCAAGTCTCGCACATCGTCGCAAAAACCCTCGTACTTGTCCTTTTATTTTATTTTCCACCAATAATATATATATATAATTTTATTGCTCAACTCAATGCGCAGCTTGTAATCCCACCATCGTTTGTTTCCGCACGTCTCGATCATCGTCACAAGGTCGTTGCTCCATTTTGCCAAACGTTTCTTCTTTTTTTTTCATCATTCATCTTTAGGATTTTCAATGATCGGAATAGCTTACCTGCATCACTAACATCAATTGTTAACTACATGTTCTTTCTTTTTTTTTTTGTACCACTATAGCTAACCACAAATTCCCTATTACCAGAGTGTTCTTTCTTTATTTTTTTATGTTGTACGCATTGTGCTTTATTCTTGTTCATTTTTATATCCACTGTCCTCTGTAATACCTCCGTGCCCCGAAGCCAAAATAAATGAATAGATAAGCAAGCAGCCCGCGTCAGCATCGCTACAAGCGTCTTGCAGCGTCTCGAAATGAGTGCGACGCTAGCAAGTGACTCCGCCATGACGGACGCGTTTATCGCTTTGCGGCTCCTCTGAGCAGGGCTTAGTCTCCCAGGTGGTATGGGCGAAGCCCCCCAGCTCGTCGAAGACTCAGAGTATACGCGACTTGACAACGATCTCAATCTTTATACTTTCACCTCGCGACGAAGCGTGCGGCAAACGCTACAAATCATCGGAGCCAGCCCACTGCACTGTGACTCTCCCGTTGCTGTTCTTGAGGGGTGCGAATAATCACGTGATAACATCTAAAGCGTTGGATGGGCTGGAATGGCTAGTATACCTTCTGTTGCAATCCATCGTCAGGTAAAAAAAAAGAAGAGTATTTAGGTATCTTTGTCGTACACTAGTGCGTCACATCGCTGCTCAATCTTACCTATAAGACTCGAGGTAGCCTTTAGAGTTACTCAACCGTTTCTTAGACATGCCGGGTCTCGCTGTGTGTGTATTATATTAATGTCCACGATGGTCGCCGGCATCGCAAACCCATGTGTCGACATACGTCTGTCCGCCTTCGTTTAGTTAATTCGGTTTCGTTTCTGATTCCTTCGGGGCTGTGCTGCTGAACCGCGGGAAATGTCAGATATCGCGTGGAAAACTTATGCGTAGAGCAAGTCGTCTGCTTCTTGTACAGGGGTGGCAGTGACGTCAGAACAACGCTGAGCTCTGATTGGCTCCGATTGAAGGATAGTGGGTAGACTTAAAGGAGGTTTGCTTCGAGGTTTACCCACTGTCCTTCGATCGGAGCCAATCAGAGGTCGGCGTTCTTCTGACGTCATCGCCACCCCTGCAAAAGAAGCAGACCAACTTGCACTCCGCAGAGCTCCAAGGGGTAAAAGGAAACTTTATTGAAACGTGGCTAAAATATCTAAAAAAAATATTCGTTCGAAACATTTTTGTTTTATTTTACGTGCGTTCTAACCACCGGGGTTCTAACTAAGCGTCCGCTTGTCCCTTGGAGCTATGTCAATGGGGAATCTACCACGATTCGGCAGCCCAGCCTCAAGGCCCCGAGGAATTACGGAAGGTGGTTGGTTAATCGCCCTGTCGAAACTATAGACCAACTCATGTTTACAAACAAACCGGAGCGACCCTAGCGGACGCGACCGGCGCCGCGCGTGCGCGAGGGACTGTGGTCAAAATGCTCGCCGTCGCCCGTAAACAAACCATTGGAATGCGATGTTGTCGGCGTTGGTGTGAGTCCCCGTGCTCCTTTTTTAGCGTTGGAATGATCGATTCCACTTCCTCCTGGCAATGTCTGACTACTGTGGCGGCCTCAGCGAAATTAACGAGGCACGTTACATCGCTAAACTTAGCGTGAATAATGTGACATGCGGCGATTCATTCTGCTTTGACGCCGCAAAATGAACGCTAAAGCCTGATTCGCACGCCGAGATTCTCCTCGCTATTTTCAGCCATGACATCGCTCGCGCTGCAAAAGCGTGAACCGTAGCTGAGGTGGTCGACGTCGATACTGAAAATTACAAGCAGAATTGGACCAAGTGAATCAAGCATAACAAGTCGGTGATGGCCACTGTTTACAATTATCAACATATGTTTGTATCTACTGTTTACATCGAGCCTATTTATTCCAACCAAGCTTCAAACCTAAAAGCACTTTGAGTCCTGCACTTACTTCTTATCGTAATGACCGGACATTTGGTCTACGGGCCGCTTTCGTTTGAAGGAGCAGACGGCAACAAGCAGAAACGTTTGAGAGCAGACGGCGATTCGAACGATCAGGCGGCCGTTCGAACTGAAAACGCACTGAACCTTACCGTAGAAGAGCAACTATACGAAGCGGCTAAACCTTACCGTGATGTTTTTCAAGGTTTAGGGCAACTTAAAGACGTCATCTACCACCTCAAGCTCAAGCCCGGTGCCCAAGGTTCAGTGAAACCGGCCAGACGCGTTGCCGTTATGCTGCAGGAGAAGGTGAAAGCTGAACTGGACCGCATGGAAGCAAACCAAGTAATCGAAAAGGTAACTGAACCAACAGAATGGGCAAGCTACATGGTTGTAGTTGTCAAGAAAGACAAAGTTAGATTATGTTTAGATCCGTCCGACTTAAACAAAGTTCTGTTGAGGGAACGCTATCCAATGCCAACCTTGGAAGATATCGCTCCTAATCTGAGTGGTGCAAAATATTTCTCCACTCTAGACGCTGCTTCCGGTTACTGGCAGATTAAGCTAGCAGACGAAAGCTCGAACATTTGCACCATGAGGTATAGATTCCTAAGAATGCCATTCGGAATCTCAATAGCTCCTGAGATATTTCAACGAGCCATGCACCAAGTATTGCAAGGGCTAGAAGGGGTCTCAGTTGTTATGGACGATATTCTGGTATGGGGAGGAACCAAAACTGAGCATGACGAAAATTTGAAACGTGTGCTGGAGAGGTGCCGAAGCTACAACTTACGGTTAAACAAGAAAAAATGCCGTTTTTTACAGCAAAGTGTCCGCTACTTGGGTCACATCGTGACTAACGAGGGACTGGCCCTGGACCCAGGAAGACTTCAAGACATCTTGGAAGTGAAGGAACCGAAGAACCGTAAGGAACTCCAAGTATTCCTTGGCATGGTCAACTTTGTAGCTCGGTTCGTGCCCAACATGTCAACAATCACGGCGCCGTTCAGGGAGCTGCTGAAAAAGGAAGTTGCCTGGGTGTGGGATGAACGACAACAAATTAGCTTCGAGTCCTTGCGCGAGGTCCTGACCAAAACCCCAGTGTTGTTTTATTACTGGAAAGACAGGCCGATTACACTTTCGGTTGACGCAAGCCAGACGGGCGTCGGAGCTGTAATCATTCAGGATTGGCATCCGCTAGCATATTCGTCGCGTTCGCTAACTGAAACTCAGCAAAAGTATGCCCAAATTGAAAAGGAAATGCTCGCCATTGTCTATGGGTGTGAAAAGTTCCACCACTACATTTTCGGCCAGTCCCAAGTGATCGTTGAATCTGATCACAAGCCGTTGGAAATGATATTCAAAAAACCGCTCTGCCAGTGCCCGTTGCGGTTGCAACGCATGCGACTAAATTTGCAAAAGTATGCAATCACGATCAAGTACAAGCCAGGAAAAGAAATGTTTCTAGCAGACGCCCTGTCGAGGTTTCCAAACGAAGCACCCTTGCGAGAGGAAGCAGAACATTTTTATGTGAACGTAATCGAATGCTTGCCTGTTTCAGACAAACGTCTGAACGATGTAATGGAAGAAACCAACCGGGACCCCAGCATGACGAAGCTCCGAGAGTACGCAGGTGATGCTTGGCCCGAAAACAAAAGGGAGGTTCCAGCCGAGATCCGAACCTACTGGAACTACCGTAAGGAAATGCACGTCCAGGACGGACTCGTGTTTCGCAGCAATAGGCTCGTCATCCCCGCGAGGCAACAGAGGGAAGTACTTTCTGTGCTGCACTCCGCGCATGGAGGCGTCAGAAAAATGAAGTCAAGAGCAAAAGCCGTGATTTTTTGGCCCAACATGGGAAGCGACATTGAGCAAATGGCAAAGAATTGTGCCGAGTGCCAAAAGTATAAACCTAAGAATGTGAAGTTGCCTCTACTCAGCCATGACATCCCGAAATTGCCATGGCAGACCATCGGAATCGACTTGTGCTACCACAATGACCAAGAATTTATTGTTGTGGTTGACTTTTACTCTTTCTTTTTCGAAGTGAGAGCCCTCAACCGCTCGACTGCGAGCAGAGTCATCACGGTCTGCGCAGACATCTTCGCGGCACACGGCCTGCCAAAGACGCTGTGCAGTGACAATGGTCCACCATTCAACAGCCAACAGTTCACGGACTACCTCCGCAAGATGGGCACCACGCACGTCAAGTCCAGCCCATACCATCCGCGCGCAAACGGGATGGTGGAACGCGCGGTACAAGAGGCAAAGAAGCTCCTGAGAAAATATGCATATGGTAGTGTCGAATACTACACCGCATTACTGGAGTGGCGCAATACTCCCAGGGATGATTATCTCAAGTCACCAGTGCATCGGCTGATGGGACGACAGACTAGGACCCTTCTACCAGTACCCCCGAGCCACCTGGAGCCGAGCATCGTTCGACCGCAAGTTGTCCAAAGACGTCTACGGCACTTCTGGAAGAAGCAGCGGACGTATTACAACCCCACCGCCAGGTCTCTTCCCAATCTAAAGGATGGCGACCAGGTGACTGTCTACGACACCTTGGCCAAGACGTGGGCTCCAGCAGCAGTCATTGGAGCAGCGGGTGCCCCTCGGTCCTACATTGTCCAGGATCAAGACGGACGAGAACTTCGCCGCACGAGAGAACACCTGAGAAGCACAAGCCAGGTCCCGATGGCGACATCACACACCACACCACCGACTTTGCCGCACCACCGACACCACACCACCGACGGTGGAATTGCGCCGTAGTAAGCGACCAAGGAAATGTCCCGCAAGATACCCGGAGCCAGAACATTAACAAGCATCTAGGTGTCTTTAGGATGTGTAGCAAGCAACCCGGACAGCAAAAGTGCTTGTAACTAACTACCTTGTGTTTCAATTATGTTTAATTCAAAAAAGCGTTCTTTAAAGAAGAAAAGGGAAGATGTAACGCGAGTCATGATTGTGCCGTCATGTTATCAGCCGCTGCTCTTCGTATCTGTTTCAGTGATCACATGTGCTGTATATATATTATCTTGTTCCTGGCAATAAACGTTCGTTCGTCACTTGACACGCAACAGACTACAGTCCACAGGGTGTTCAAGTGGTGCGTACAACTTTGCAGTTTTCCAGCGTTCATGTTGGAACGAAACACTGACGACCACAAGTTTCCGTGAATTGCCCCAAAGTGCTTCCCGCACAAGCAAGCGTTGTCCGACGGCGTCTGGTTTTACTTTTTCATGGCCCCGTCCACGTTCTCCGACGAACCGAGCAGTCAGAAAACACATAAAAACTGACATTCAAACCTTTCCCGACTCACAGTTTTATAGTCGCAGTTCCAGTCGCGGTGTTTTGACAAGAAGGCGTTGACAAGAAGGCATCGCATGGTGACTTCCACCCACAGCCCCAGGCCGGAAGTGCGCCCGACACGCCCCCACCGCGCCGTGACGTAACAGAGCTGAATTCATGTATACAACAGTTTGTCATTGTGATACCGTGGCTGGGAGATCAGTCACTTTCTCTCCCGCAATCACGTCAATTTTTGCGTACGAACAACGCCGGATTCACCAGAGAGAGCCACTATAACAACTGCAGCTGTAAAAAAAAGAAAAAAGCATTCGGCTTTTCTGAGTGACGCGAGTATCGGTGTGATTGACAGTGATAGTAAACAGAAACGCAACGACGAGGCTTACGCGTTCCTCGCCCAGCTTTATCGCGTCGTAGACGACCGGCCGCGCTTCGAAATGGGCTCTTTAAACAGCCGTAGATGCGTCTCTATCGGAAATGAGGCCTCCGCACCGGCCGAAAACGACGCCGCGCCGCCATACCCTCGAATCGGCAGCGAGGTCCTCTTAGAAACGACTATGGAGATGCCCGTAAGCTTTCTTGCCCGCCCGTCCAATGGCAAGATCTTTTCCCGATTCGTGAAAATATATGCTTCATTTGTTTTTTCCTTCGCCGCCCGTTATCGGTGCCGTTTCGTAGGTTTCTTCGCGCAAATGTGTTAGGAGAAAACACAACATTAAATAAAGTGCTTTTTTTGAAGGCCTATAGGTAAAGCAAGGCATAGGTAAAGCTGTCCCCAATTGATGTCTACATCCAACGTGCTAACCTCAAAAAAGAAAAAAAGTAAAAAAATAAGATTAAGTGTTGCCCGGTGTTTATACGCTCCGCGAAATAGTTAAGAAGAAATTTGGTTTTCCGAATATGAAAACTATGCTTTTCACGTTTGAATCTTGTACGTTGCGATAAATTAACGAGTTCCATTGGAGGAAATGAGTAACCCACCGTACGGACCGTAACTTTTTTTTTTCCTCAATCATTATTACGGCTTTGGGTGTAGTAGAGAGTGGCAACGGGCAAACTAGTATAGAGCCATTCCATCACCGGTTCAAATCACTGTTGCTAGATGACGGAAGCTTGATCTGAAATCGCAGTAAACGGTTTTTGTCCTCCAGGAATCTTGAAAGAGTTCGCGACAGGGCAAAACGATATCGCTCGAGCTTCATGATACCAGATATCTAAAACCAAGTAGGTCGCATTTTCGAATCGTAGTAATCGCCAACTGCTGATATACCGTGAAACCTTAGTGCTGAAAGCCCATACTCGGAGACACCTCCCACGGCAGAGTTACATTGTATGTACATATACCTAACTGGAAGCTCTTCGACGGCACCTCCAACGTGCATCGATGCGTCGACCCGGCCAAACATCGGACCCAAAAGGCCGTCCACATCGGTCGTAAACCGGAACCCGAATCCGCTCCCATACGGCTCCCAGTCTTGCAGTCCATCGTCAGCGAACCATCAGCAACCGCAGCCGCCGGTTTCACATTGTGCATCGCGTCGCGCGGGCAGATACAGTAGTATACCACGAGCTGGGGGAGGCGGAGAGTCACCGCAGGTGCCCTGGCTGATAACAGGTCTCCGCCGAACACGCGAGTGCGAGCACCGTACTCCCCGAGAGACGATTTCGCTGATGACAGAGCGCGGCGAAGAGGAGGGAGGACCTCCTACTGCCCACCACCCCCGCAACCACGCGACTGATCGTCTCGCCACGAGATGGAGCGAAGAAAACCCCAGGGCACGTGCGCTTGGGCATTCGAAAAACTGCAGCGTCACGGCTGGTTTCCTTATTGGATAATCGAGCTAAATGCAGAACTGAATCAGGTAATTCACTCGTTAACCATATAGGTAATCCGGTACTTTTGGTTATTTAAATCGCGAGCTCGTAGTAGTGGTTGACACAGCCCGTCTACAGTGTCCGTCTCGGTCCATCTTCAAGGTGAAGCGGTCTGCATGCATTGTGTCAGTCCACGACGGACTACAGCCATATCTACGGGCCGCCATATCCAATAACGAGACAGTTAGAAACCACGTGGTATGATCCGACGTGCGTGTCGCGGGTTTGAACTGGCTTTTCGTTGGGCCTCACGGCCCATGACCTTGGCTCTTGTCCATTGCGGAGTGGAACATTTCTTGGCACATAGAAGTCGACGAGCCAGTGACCCCAAAGAAGAAGAAGAAGGCGGAAAAACGTCGTCTGGGCTTCTTTCTTTGCTTGGCTTGTCTTGGCTACTTCTCGAGCAGGATCCGAAGCGTCTTCGTTTGTGTATTTTGTGGTGAATTGAAAAAGGGGGAAGACACTAAATGTGGGAGCTTCCAGCCAGGAGCAAGTCGCGTGCATTCTCAATTCCTTATCCTCCGGTTCCCGTTTCGGCCGCCAGGCCGCGACAGTTTTCGCTGCACACTCTACTACGCGGGTAACTTCCCCACTTTTCTCTTTCACGTTCCCTCCGCGGGGTGGCGCCACCTCCTTCTCCTCCGGAGCTCGCGGGCGTGCCGTCCCGCGGACCGAGCGAGCCAGCCGCGTTGATGGTGATGAGGGCAGCGGTTTCACAACGCGTCGCTGATGGCCCTGGCAGGGCTCCCGACGCTAAGAGCCCCCCGGGAAAAGCAAAGACGCGGACGAAAGCAGCGACTCGAGGCACTCGCGACGGGGGTGTGGGTGTCTTCGGGGCTGCTACAACGGAGCACCGCTTTCGCTGCCCAGACGCGAAAAGGATAATGGACACGGTGTCTGGCTCGTGCGATCGGTCTCAAGAGGGAGTGAGATGACCGTCGCGCTGCCGAGGAAGAGCCCTGCGTTCGTCTAGGCTAGTGTGTCGTCTTGGGCTTGCCGTGCCGGCGATAGCGGCTGCGATTTGGGAAGATGTCCCCGTGCTAAGAGCCCGTTCACGAGGGGGCCAGTGTAACTCGCCCGATGACCGGACGATGGGCTTATTCTTTGGCGTGCTCCAGGTTTACGGTTTTGTGTATTTTATAAGTATCGGGTTTATTTCTGTTTCATTTTTTTTTTTGGGGGGGGGGGGGGCGGAGGGGGGGTTGGGAGGGAGGGGGGTGAGCTGAAGTAGAGGCGGAAGGAAGGGGTAAAGCTGAAATGCGTAGAGAAACATTGTTTCACGTGAAGCGTCTAGGAAGTAAGAAGCGACAGTGGAGACATTGTTTCCCCGTTTCGAGCGATGCATTTTTTTGTAGGCAAAGCTCGCTTCGAGCTCGGAATTGTTGGAGACAATATCAAAAGAAAGAGGATGGAGGTACATTTGTCTAGTGTCCGCCATCTAGGGAACGAACGATTTTGTGGAGCCTTAGCAACAGCTTCTGTTAACCAACCACCAGTGTCCTTAAAAATTCAATAAAGATATACTGTATCGCGAACTTCTATTTCGTCGCCAAGTCTAATCATCTGCTAACACGCTCTTGTACGTGAGTGTTTCCGCATTCTTTCTTTTTTTACCCTTTCTTCTCGTTACGAAATAATAAATTTAAATTGTATACAATTGAAGAAAGCGGTTCAGTCACATTATGCGCTGAAATCCTTTTCTCCTGTTTTTTATTAGTTATGTCGCGATTGTATCACGTTTCTTTTTTCTTTTTTCAAAAGCTAGAAAGTGACAAAAGTTAACAATCCTGTGAATCAGCCTTAACAAAGTGTGTGATGACGAAGGTCTTTTCTGCTATTCTTTCTATAGCTTGTGCTCTGTATGTATTTTATACTGTGAGTATCACGCTGCTCTGCTGCTTGTAGGCGGTTGGGGACCTTGTCAAGCTGTTTTCTACAGCTTTTTGTCCCTGGTCGCCACCATAAAAATCTTATGGTGAAAAAAAAACAAAAAAAAAACGAAACGTGCCGGTGTCTCCAACTTCTACAAGGAGTATTCACTGGGCGCCATATTTACGGGTGCTGTCTAAAGCGCACGCTCACAACGAGCCCCCATTAATAGGCTGCTAAGACCGGCAATCTTGAGGGTGTGGAATGCACGTTGCAAAAGAGCCGTGGAAGCTCGCCATCAGCACGCGCTCAGCAGTCGCGCACACAGCCATGGCCGCCAGTGAATACTTCCTATAGAGAGCACTCGCAGAGACAATTATTGTAACTTTTACGAAAGCGAGTCGGGCGAACGACAAAGCCGTGAAAACGTTTCGACCTAGACAGACACTGGGAAAAAAGTTACATTGCACCGAGCACAAGGTTACACTGCACTGAGCATGAAGTAACATCGCTCCCATCAAGGTCAGTTTAAAGTGGCAGACTTTAATATTAGATTGACACGAATACGGCCAGCAAGTCGACCACAACACGTCTCTTTGCGTACCAAAAACAAATGCAAAAAAAGTGAGGGGGATTTATTACGTGTGCGGCCATCGGTCTGCTCCTTGCAGACGGCACTCACTCTCGTGGGTAAACGAAGTTTCTCAGACTTGTCAGTT